CCACAATCCACTTTGGATCCTGAGAGTGGAACTCTGTGGGGTATTACATTGATTAGTTCTCTGATGCAGGCCCTATTTCCATAGAGACCCTATAAATAGAGGAACATTGGCGACCTAGGCTTGCAAAGGCTCAGGGTGACCCAGTCACCCCACTGAACCCTCACAGCCTTTCCTTTGATGGGACAGAGAGAGGTTCAGACCCAAGTGGGAGGAAAGACTCTGCAGTCAGCTGCCAGGTGGGATAATTAGCTATAGAATATCGTGAGTTTTTAAGATTCTCTCAGCTTTTCTGGGGTTTGCTGAGAACCCAGGAATTTGTAGGAATTAGAAACCACTTTTGGCCATTTTAACCAGATGGTGCCAATGACACTGTGCCCTGAAGCATTTTAGTTTTGGCCTCATTCAGCTGTGTTTGCAGATTTTGGAGCAAACTTCCCCTTTAGGGGACCTACATGCCAGGAGGAAGGCGGGTGAAGCCTAACTGTTCAGAAACCGCAGCCTTCACAGGAAGGATCTTTCGGAAACCATCTAGTCCTCCCTTTCTTCCTGAGTGTACAGTGCTACCCAAGGAGATGAGGTCCTTCCTGCCCTTACCAGTAGTTTCAGGGGAGGACAGCAAGCTTCTGCCACTCACCTCCCCAGGAGTCGGCACCTCGCTCTGGGAAGCTCCTCCTTCTGGCTACCTTCTGACCGGTTCTGGGGTCGTGCTATCTTGCTCCATTCTTAGGGATCACGAGAGCTCTGTTTATGTCCCACCTCTAACTCGGAAACCCCTCAGCTCTCTTTTTCTAATACATGGCTTAATTTGGCCACCGAAATGGGTTTCTGGCAGCTAGAGAAAAGCAAAAGTCAATGTGGGAAAGCAAGTGACATTTAGTAGCTGGAACCTGTTAGTCAGAGCAGGTGGTGCTTTCTGCTGCGTTGGCGGCTAAGTTCCCTTAAGCTAGTCGCCATGGTTTTCCTCACTTCTAATACTTGTAGCTGGTTATGTGTTATATGCTGAATTTTTTTTTAAGCACTTACCGTGTTATGTCAAAACTCCTTAACCATCTCCTCCCTGACACCCACATGCAGAAGCAGCCCAGCCCATGCATCACCTTGCTGTTCTTGCCTTGAAAGTGAGGGAAAACCCTTCATTTGGAGCAGCCTCCCCTCCCCCACACTGTTCTTTGACTTCCTTTTTATTCTTTCCCTTATGCCTCCTGTGGAGTTTAAGACTCCTCCATCTGCTGGGGCAAGGGTCATGGGTCGCTTGGTCACCCTCCCTAGCTTTCCTTCACCTGCAGAACAGCCAGGGAGGTGGGACACAAAGACCTCCTGGCTGCAGGTCTTATCCAGGTCCTGTGATGTGGCACAGGCAGTTCCACAACTGTAGTTCAGGGCTCCTCACGCCCCTGACCCAGGCATCTTTGCTTTGTTTTGAGTCTGCCTTTGATACTGTTCTGGGACACATGCAAATACCATATCTAGTGTGGTCTTGGAATCAGTCTGTGGGCCTGTGAAGGTAAATTAGACTAGAAGAGAGTTTGTCTGTGTGGCTTGGATGAACCACTTAGCTGTACTTCAGTTTCTTCATTTGCAAAATGGAGACGTTGTTGCTGTGACCTGTCATATTCCTAGCTCCTGAGGTTAGGCTAATGACAGATTAGAATGTCAGCATAAATGCTGTGAGTAATTAAAAAAAATAACTTGGCCAAGGACTTTAGGATTCAAGGCAATATGATAGACAATGGTGTCTGCTCTAGCTCTCCCCAGCACATCCACCTGGTTGAGGGAGAGAAATGCCTCAGTGTTCCAGGCCCTGGTGAAGTCTTTTTAAAATTCTCATTTTGAGCCGGGCTCGGTGGCTCAGCCTGTAATCCCGCGCCTTTGGGAGACTGAGGTGAGTGGATTGCCTGAGCCCGCGGGTTCGAGACCTGCCTGGGCAGCGAGACCTCATCTCTACAATAAATCAAAAAATCAGCCGGGTGTGGTAGCGCATACCTGTAATTCCGGCTACTTGGAAGGCTGAGGCCGAAGGATCGCCGGAGCCCAGCAGGTCGAGGCTGCGGTGGCCGGGAGCGGCCATTGCACTCCAGTCTGGGTGACAGAGTGAGACTCCAACTCAAAAAAAAAAAAAAAAAAAATTCTCTTTTTGTAGGGACAGGTTCTCACTATGTTACCCCGGCTGGTCTTGGACTACTGGCCTCAAGCCATCCTCCTGCCTCAGCCTTTCAAAGTGCTGGAATTACAGCCACGGTGCCTAGCCCAGGGGAGGATTTTGAGGGGAAACTGTCTACATGAGTATGGATCTAGAAGAGGGACCTCAGTGTTGGAGAAGCTAGTTTAGGAATGGGGGGGAGGAGAAGGGGGAATAGAATGCTAGAAAGACGTTTGTAATATGTAATGTGACCATTTGGCAAAGGCAGCTGGGCAAATGCCAGAGCCAGCTGGCCCCATCCACGATGCCTGGATGGAGGTCTCGTGTCAGCTTGAGCCTAAGGAAGAGGGAGGTGTCCTGGAGTGTCCCTGGTCTGGAGGCTGCAGGATCTGGCCCATTCCAAGTCCATGGCAGAGTGTGCCCCACCATCCACTCTGCCTTGGATGCCTTGGGTCTCCCCAGCAGACTCGGGTGGACCTAGTGGCCCTGCCTCAGGCTAGCCTTCAGGGGATGGAAACTCCTGTGGGAAAACCTGGCACTGCGTAACTTAGCATCTCCAGGGCTGCCCCAGAATCCAGTTCTTGAGAAGGAATAGTGGTAGCCTTAATTTCCTCATCTATAAATGGAAACGTTGCAGTTGTTACTTTTGTTAGTATCTGGGAAAACCAAATGAGATAATGCAAGGTGAAAAGCACCTTGAGGCCAGACTTCGGTGGCTCAGCCTGTAATCCCAGCACTTTGGGAGGCCGAGGCAAGTAGATTGCCTGAGTCTGTGGGTTCAAGTCCCACCCGGGCAACTTGGCGAGACCTTGTCTCTACAATAAATCAAAAATTAGCTGGGCGTGGTAGCGTGTACCTGTAGTTCCAGCTTCTTGGAAGGCTGAGGCGGAAGGATCGCTGGAGCCCAGTAGGTCAAAACTGTGGTGGCCAAGAGCGTGCCACTGCACTCCAGTCTGGGTGACAGAGTGAGACTCCAACTCAAAAAAAATAAAAAAGAAAAGAAAAGTACCTTGAAAACTAAAACTGTTAGTTCTTGGTGAGTTTTGGTGATGTAACTTATCTGGTCTGTAAAATGGGTGATGTAAGGGCTTTGTCTGCTTTGAGAATTGTGGGGACACTCAAATGAGGTGAAAAAAATCTTAAAATCTTACACAAATATACAGTAGAATAGTTATTGACATCCAGATATAAGTGCAGCTGTCTGCACAAACTCAGTGCTGAGGTGTAAAGTAACATAAGAATGGGGTCAGCTAATTTAGAAGATGTAGGATTTTTTTTCTTGGTTTCTGCATGGTCTAAATTTTCTGCTCTGTAAGTTTGTCTCTAGAAAAACAAAAGAAAATCCAGTATGTGTAATTTTGGGGGAATGTTTTTAAAAATGACTGAGGCCTGTCTCATGAGACTGGGTTGTTCCTCACAGATGAAATCCTGCCATGGCTCATTGAGCCCCAAATGGCTGGGCTCTGAGTTTCCCTCTTAGGAGCTATGGGGAAAGTGGGGGCTCACCTGGTCCTCTACATCCCATCCCTCCTCCCCACAGCTCTGAAGCTCTAGTGGAGGGCTCAGCCCAGCCAAATAAGCCATCTCCTAACAGAAGCAGCTGTCTGGACTCATTCCACAGTTGCCTTGCCCTGTCAGGCCATCCAGCTGCTTCTCTCTGAGTAGTATTGCCTAGGGAGCAGCTGGAGGAGCTTAGCAGCAGAGCCAAGAGGAAAGGCTGGGACCAGGGCAACACTGGGCTCCAGGAGACCTCTGATTTGGTCCAGTTGGAGGGAAAAGATATTCATTTGCATAGCTGCTTCTGACATGTATGCTAAAGAATTGGTCACATCATTGACTATGCTACAAGGCATGCTTATAGAAGTTTATTTTATTACCAACTATTTGAGAAATGAATTTGGCTATAGACAACAGAAAATTGTACTAGAATTATGTAGTCAAAGTTAGGTGTATTTATTTCCGGCAACAAGAATCCCAGGTTAGCCATTCCCCACTGGTTTGGTGGCTTCATAGGCCATCAAGTTCTCAGGCCTGTCTCTTGGGCTCCACCATCTGGGTATATGCAGGCCATCATCATCAACCATGTCACCTCGTAGTTGCCAAATGGCTGCCACATCTCCAGGCATTACATTCACACGGAAAGAAGTGGGAAAGGCCAGCATCTTTATCAGGAAGGCAAAAGTATTCCCCGAAACCCTCACCTTGCTTTTCATTGGTCAAAATGGTGTCACATGGCTACCTCTAGCTGCAAGGGAGTCCAGTGAAGCAGGAATTCTTAGCAAGGTGAATTAAGTCCTTGAAGTTTGGTTGATAAGACTGAAAGGGAAATAAATACTGGGTAGGCAATTTGCATCCTGCTATGACACTGTAACCTGATTGTATGACTCTGATTTTCCCAGGGAGTGCTGCAATGAGGCATCTTTGGAAGTGGATGCTCAGTGATCTGAAGCTTGAAGGAGGGTCTAACTTAGAAGGCAGGAAGGATGGGTGTGGTGGGCAGTCAGTCAAGAGGGATACCTCTTGTCTCAAATGCTACCTGTATATGTCACTAATCCCCCAGACTGTAGCCCTGAGTGCATCATTCCTGGAAACCCTGAACCCACTTTTTGATTGGGAATGTCCTGTGGGAAACCATGGGGTGCATTTCTTTGGGTGTGAAAGGATGGATCTAGGTTGATCACTTTTTACCAAGTGACCTTTTAGACCTGACAAGCCATCCATAGGGATCTTCTAGGTTCAGATGGCTGTAGTGGCTACGCCAGTCTAACAAGGACAGACTCGTCACCATCACCCCCCCTGCCCCTGACTAGGCATTCAAGAGCTTTCCACTCACCAGGATTCTTCATCTCTTCCCCTTAAGAAAATCCAGCAGCTCTCAGAGGGCTCCATGTTTGGCCACGGTCTGAAGCACCTGTTCCACAGCCGCCGCCGGTCTCGGGAGAGGGAGCATCAGACGTCTCAGGATTCCCAGCAGCAGCAGCAGCAGCAGCAGCAGGGCATGTCTGATCATGACTCCCCAGATGAGAAGGAGCGCTCTCCGGAGATGCACCGCGTGTCCTACGCCATGTCCCTGCACGATCTGCCTGCCCGGCCCACCGCCTTCAACCGTGTGCTGCAGCAGATCCGCTCCCGGCCCTCCATCAAGCGGGGCGCCAGCCTGCACAGCAGCAGTGGGGGTGGCAGCAGCGGGACCAGCAGCCGGCGCACCAAGAGCAGCTCCCTGGAGCCCCAGCGTGGCAGCCCCCACCTGCTGCGCAAGGCCCCCCAGGACAGCAGCCTGGCCGCCATCCTGCACCAGCACCAGTGCCGTCCCCGCTCCTCATCCACCACTGATACCGCCCTGCTGCTGGCTGACGGCGGCAACGTGTACCTCCTGGCCGAGGAGGCGGAGGGCATCGGGGACAAGGTGAGGTGGGCCTTCCAGGTGGGGCACAACTCAGAGGCTGAGGGATCTCAGGACCTGGGGAGCTGAGCTGGGTCCTGCCTGGTGGGTACTGCTGCCCTGCTGCCTGCAGAGTTATCTGCCCTTGTCTGAAGGACTCAGAGGTATGAACAGGAGATGATCCCAGAGTGGCTAATTTTTGTTTGCTTAGGGGTTTGTTTCTCAGAATTACATTTTGATCAGCTGATGTTAATTTTGGCTTGAGAAAATGTTTTCCTTAAATGTGCTCTCAAGAAGCAGTAAGTACAGTGGTTCAGAGCACAGGTTGGAACCAACCCTGGTTCTGCCATTGACTGGCTGAGTTAGTCACTTAACCTCTCTGTACCTCAGTTTCACTAATTGAAAATGAGGATAATAACAGTAGCTACTTGGAATGGAGCCTGGCATAGTATCGTTTTTACTATCACTACCAGCCAAGGAAGATAGGGGAACAATCCCTGATGGACTGTTTGGGAAGGAGAGAAACTAGTTTAGCCCTTCATGAATTTCCACATTCTTTTGTTCATGTAACACGTATTTATTGAAGTCTTACTATGTGCTAAAAGAACGAACAACCTGGCATCACTGTCCTCATGCAGCTCACTGTCTGGACAGAGCAGGGTGACCAAGCTATGAGAGATGCTGTGAGAGCTTCAAGGGGAGGGGACGGAGAAAGGAGGGGAGTGGGCAGAGACCTGCTGGGGAAGCCATTGAGTTAAATCTTGAAGGAGTATGATGTAACCAGGGAGGAAGCGGGGGAGGGGAAAGGAGAGGGGTACAGCTGGAGCTGGGGGCAACTAGGGATTCGTTGTGGTCAGAGCACCCAGCGCTTTTGGGGACTGACAGGTAGCTAGAAGCCAGATCACAAAAGGCCTTGTCATATTGAGTCTGGGGGTCATGTGATGCTGTCAAAGGGTATTAGGCAGGAGACTGGTGGAAGGACGTCCCTGTGGGTCTCAGTGTAAACAGTAGGTTGAGAAGGGAGCTCAGGAGTGGGGTCAAGGGAGCTTTGGATCTAGTATAGCAGTCTATGCTGCAGCAGTGGGGATGGAAGGAAGATGAGTACAGAAGACATTTGTGAGTGAGTATCAATAGTACTAGGTGAAAAAGTAGGTACAAGCCTAAGGGGAAGAGTCGGGGGTGGCAGAGGTCCTCAAACTTTTAAAACAGGGGGCCAGTGCACTGTCCCTCAGACTGTTGAAGGGGTGGCCTATAGTTTAAAAAAAAAAAACTATGAACAAATTCCTTTTTTTTTTTTAAACTATAGTCCGCCCCTCCAACGGTCTGAGGGACAGTGAACTAGCCCCCTGTTTTAAGAGTTTGAGGACCCCTGCAGGTTTCTGCCTTAGCATCTTGAGAGATGGGGAATGCTCTAGTTGAGGAGTCATGGGAGAAGGAGTGTGTTTTGAGGGAAGGCGGCAAGTTCAGTTTTGGACCTGTTGAGTTGCAGGTGCCTTTGGGAGCTGTCTAGAGGGGACCAACTGGCAGGTGGGTTTCTGGGGTAGAGGTCAGAGTTGAGGCTAGTGCTCTGGGAGTCGGCACTGAGGTTAAAGTTGTGGGTGTGGGTAAGATCCTTGAAGGGGCGTGTGTGGAGTGAAAAGGAGGCGAAGGACAGATCCAAGTGATATATAAGAGATAGGCCAAGCATAAGGGGCCCGAGAGGGAGCATCCAGATGTGTAAAAGTAAATCTGCAGAGAATGATGTTGAAGCAGAAGAAAGGAGCTTGAAGGAGGAGGAAGTACCCTGAGTGAAATGCATTAGAAGGGGAAGGCCAGATCTGGATTCGGAAATGTGCATTGGCAGAATCAAGCAGTGGAGGTCATTGGTAGCTGTGGCAGAAGCCAGTTTCAGTGGACCAAAGAGATGGTAGGAGTGGAGGCAGTTGTGTAGCTTGGCTGGGAAGGGAGAGGGCATCAGATTGAGACAGTCTAGTTTTTGTGGGGATTTTTCTTTCTTCTTTTTTTTTTTTGAGGTGGAGTCTCACTCCATCACCCAGGCTGGAGTACAGTGGCATGCTCACAGCCACCCCAGGAATGACTGACTGGGCTCCAGCGATCCTTCCGCCTCAGCCTTCCAAGTAGCTGGAATTACAGGCAATTTTTAAATTTATTGTAGAGATGAGGTCTCGCCAAGTTGCCCAGGCTGTTCTTGATCCCGTGGACTCAGGCAATCCCCTTACCTTGGCCTCCCAGAGTGCTAGGATTATAAGTTTGAGTCATTGTGCCCAGTCTTTGTGGGGTTTTTAAAGATGAGACTCCTTCATGTTGGCAGAGAAGGGCCCTGTTAGGGAGAGATTGAAGATAGAGGTGAGGAAGAGGAATTCTAGTTGGGTTGAGGACTACGTAGATGAGAGGATGTGAGATCCAGATGTCAGCGTGATCTTTGGCCACAAAGAGAGTCACCTCTGGGAGGCAGAAATGAGTTCTTATTTGACGTTTATTTTCTGTGGGGAAGAAAACCAAAGATGCAACTGTTTATTGAGAATAGTGAGGGAGGTGGGAGGACTGGCTTGAGAAGGGCAGTACAGTTTGGCTCCGAGCAGGAACATGTAGATGCCCTGTCTGGTATTGTGGAGGCTCGGGGTGGAGGCTTGCAAGTTGTGCTGGTAGCACCCCTTGTGATTTGTTTTTCTTCTAGTAGTCTTCAGCAGCCAGAGGGTGAGAACAGAGATGAAGGCCTATCTAGGGTTGGCAGTTGCTGGGAGAGCAGGTTGAAAGGTCAAGGGTGACAAAGAAGTTGGGAGATTGGATCAGAGAATGCTCAAAGGATTGGACCTTGAAATCCCAGCTGGCAAAGGAGGTGGGGATGGGAGAAGGCTGAGGAGTGTGGAGAAAAAGAGGTGGGAGTATTCAGGGGGTTGAGGATCAAGTTCTTTGAGAGTAAAGAGGAACGAGAGAGAAAGGAGAGGGCATTGGAGTTTGATTCTGGGGACTAGATAGGGAAGACACGGGTCAGTATATACTCCTAGAGCATGGCAGATGAGGAATAAATGGAAAGATAATTTGTGACAGAAAGAGCTGAGAGGTTAGTTGTCACATGGGCTGTCCATGACATTGAAATCCTGCCTAGGATAATAGTCAGCAGGTAGCCTTGATGTGTGGAGGGTGGGGGGGAGGGGAGTGTGCAATAGCAGGGACCTCAGAGGAAGCTGGGCTTGTCCATGAGGGGTAAGGGGTGGCACTGCTGAAGCTGCACTGAGTAGAGTAGAATGCTGGTTCTACCTCAGAGTTGTGAAATGTTGGAGAGTCACTACAATTAACGAGGGCCCCAGGGAAAGTAGAACGCAATAAGAGCCTGCAGGGGGCCAAGTGCTGACTGTGGGTAGGCAGGAGGCTGCCTATTCACCATGGAAGGAAGAGTCTGGAAGGTCTAGTGGGAGGGCAGATGAGAGAGAAGACAGCTCGAGTGGAAGGCAATGAGAGGAGGAGAGATGATGGGTGACCAGACAATCCTGCATGTGGGGGATGTAAGGCCTCCGTGGGTTTCTGTCATCAAAATTCCAAGGGAAACTCTGGTGTGAAGCTGTTTTCACCATAGATTATCACCAGAGCAGATACAGCACCATGTACGACTTGGAGTTGTCCTCCCTCAACATAGGCTGTTTCTCGAGTTCTTGTGCATCTTGACATTTGAAAACATTTGGAAGTTTGCTCATTCAACAAACATTTGTGTGTATGCTGTATGCCTGGTACTGTACAGCAACTTAAGTTTGGGTTTGCACTCTGCCAACTTAGGAAGCGCTTTTGTAGACATCATTTCATGAATTCATTAAAGCAGTCGGGTGAGGTGAATAAGCCAGGTGGTGATATCCCAGTTTTAAGACTCAAAGAGGGGATAGACTCAAAGAGGGGATATGACTCATCCAAGGCCATATAGTTCTGAAATGACAGGCCTGGAACTGGAACCTGGGTTTCCTGACCTCAACCATGTCCATGTGCGCCAGCTGGCAGCCATCGCCAGCGATGGACCCAGCCTCCAGCATGTTCAACACACAGCAACTTTAGACCATGCTTTGACATAATCATCACCCTAGGGGATGATCTTCCAGCACTTTTTGGTCACTAGATATTGAATCATGTCATCTATTCCAGAAATGACTGGTTTTAGACTTCTTTAAGCAGAAAGGACTTTCCACAGGTGTCCTGGTCCATCTCCCAATAGTTGAGCCTCACCGGTCAGTCATCAAGTCAACTGACATCTCTTCTTCAGCAGCACAGGGGGCATTTTCACCGAGTACCTTCCTGTTTCCCCTTCATTCAACAAGTATTTACTGAGCATCTAGTATGTGCCAGGCACTGTTCTAGGCATTGGGGATACAGCAGTGAATGAAAGCAAAGCCCCTACTTTTATGAAACTTATATTCTAGTGGTGAGAGACAACCATTCAATAAATGACTACATGATATATTTCATGGTAATGAGTGCCAAGAAGCCAAGTAAGAGCAGGGTAAGGAGACTGAGTGATGGGGGTAGGCTGCATGCTCTTTTGCCTAGTTGGTCAGAAGAGGCTTCTCTGGTGGTATGAAGGAATGAATCATGAGGATAGCTAGGAAAGAACCAGTAAGTACAAAGGCCTTGAGGTAGGAATGTGCTCAAGGAACCTGCAAGAAGATCAGTGTGACTGGAGTGGAGTGAACAAGGCAGAGAGTATAGAAGAGAAGAGAATCAGAGAATAGAAGGGAGAGGTGGGCCCAGAGTGATGGAGGGAGAGGGAACTGGGAGGACTGCAGATCACATAGGGCCTAGTAGGCCGGAAAAGGAACTTTTCTTTTTTTTCCCAAGTGAGATGGAAAGTTATTAGAAGGTTTTGTACAGATGAGTTGATCTTTTAAAAAGATCATTCTGGGGGCTGGGCTCGGTGCCTCAGCCTGTAATCTCAGCACTTTGGGAGGCCGAGGCGAGTAGATTGCCTAAGCCCGCGGGTTCGAGACCAGCCCAGGCAACCTGGCAAGACCTCGTCTCTACAATAAAATTTTTAAAAAATA